ATGTAGGCTGGAGCGTCCAGTCACCCTGAAGCATTTGGCACCATCTAGTCAAATTTAATACCAGCATCCGCTAGGACCCAGCGGCCCTGCTGCTGGCCACGTATTCCACAGAAGTGCTCAAACCTGTCAGCAGGGGTACTCCTCTGTCGCAGAGCCTACAGTGATAGAGAGTGGAGTGGCCTGGCTGTGATGGGTGGGCATCAGGAAGCACTGTGTAGGACCAGAAGCAGCAGATTGTGTGCTTACAGAGCAATAAAGCGGGTGCCTGTGAAATCATGCTGCTCTAAGGAAAGAAATAAGAAAAAAAAAAAAGCTAGACAATGAGGTCAATAACACGGTACCATTTATGTAAATTAAAAATACAGGCCAACAAAGCAAAAATACTCATTAAACAAAACTCGGCAGTTTCTTCTAGGAATCAGAGTAGTGGGAGGGGATAGAGGAGACACATCTCCCCTCTGTGTCCTCCAGGGGATCAGGGCAGGACCCCCCAACCGATATCAAAGTCCCTGAACATTCAAATCCCTCATGTAAAATGCTGCATTATTTGCATGTATCCCACACATATCCTTCCATACACTTTAAACCATCTCTAGATTACTTATAATACCTAATAAAATGCCTACACGTCTGCTTCATTTCTGAGGATTCAGCAGAGCACATAGCAAATTCAAAATTTTTGCTTTTTGGCGCTTTCTGAAAATTCTTTCTAATATTTTTGATCCAACCAGGGGGGTTGAATCTGGAGATGTGTAATCCGGAGATATGCAGGGCCAACTGTATCCAAAATAAGAAAGGGATTATATATAGACCAGGGATAAAAACAGTTCTATAGATTGAAGAATAGCCCTCTATTCCCCAGGAGGCGAAACTCAAACACGACATAGCAAAGAATTCCTGCCAAACTCTCTCCCCTCTGCTGAGTTCGCACCTCTGCTTATCTAGGTTGGCTTGACTGGGTGTTATGCAAGTTCATTTTTTTTTTCCTAATTCTATTGGTTCTCTTTAGTTTGACATGGTGCTAGAATATACTATGGCATAATTATCAAAGCGTGGCATATAATTTGTTTAAATTCAGACCCCAGGATTTCCCCTTTCCCTCCCCCTTCCCTCTACTGATATTTTTGCTATTGACTTATAATTGTTTGTGGGTTTTTTTTTGTTTTCGTCAATTAGTGTCTTGTGGATGTACATGTAGGTGAGATTCGCTGTGCTGTATTCATATGTGTCCACGGGAAACTTAGGTCAGGTACACCCACTGGACTCTCCCTGTCCCATCTCACCCCCTTTCCTTTCAATTCCCTGTGTTTATTCCTCGGATCTTACTTCTATCCTCCCGACCCCATTTTTTTTATTAGCTTCTACATATCAGAGAAAACATTTGCCCTTTAATTTGGGGGGGGAGGGGTTATTTCACTTAGCAGGATAGTCTCCAGATCAACCCATTTACCAGCAAATGTAATCATGTCATTCTTCTTGATAGCTGAGTAACATTCCATGTGTCCATCTACATTTTCTTTATCTGTTCATCTGTTGAGGGGTACCCAGGTTGATTCCATAGCTTATCTACTGTGAGTTGTGCTGCTCTATGGCTGTGTCGCTGTCGTATGTGAATTTTAAAACCTGTGGATAGATTTCGAGGAATGGGACAGCTGTATCATATGGTGGGTCCATTCCTAATTTTTTTGAGGAATCTCCATGCTTCTTTCCAGAGTGGGTGTACAATTTTTCAATCCCACCAACGACGTACAAGTAGACCCTTTTTTGAAAGAATAAATGCCAGTTCATTTGATGGCAGGATTCCTTTTTCCACATCAGAGTTACGTATAACAGAATCTGTGCTCTTGGCTTGCACTTTGGAAAATATAATTCATGATGAATCCAACCACCGACTGGACTTTCGTTTTGAACTACTCAAATGTTTAATTCGACCAGAGATGAGATCCTAACGTGGCTAATAACCATCTCCTGAAGACGCCGAAATATCCTTCTTTTATCCATCTGTTTTATTTTTTATTTTATTTCATCGATTTTTATTTATTTTCCCCAGTGTCTCAGATACCATCTCCCAGTGTTCAAGGCTGGACAGCAAATAATTAAACTCTAGGTTAGACCCACAAAAGGAAACGGTGGGGTCTGATTTGGGGGGTGGGAATCAAACACATATGCCATCCAGCTTCCCAAGGAGATCCTAGCTTCCAATATTATCAGCACCTGGCAGGAGGAGACTATTTTATGTAAATGGATTCATTATTATTAATTTCTGCTGGGGCTGAACGATTTATGAACTGCTTTTCAAATGTAGAAAAGTACTTCATGAATCAGAAGGAAAAATGTTCCCCAAAACCAGCATCGATAAATAACGACTTTTATTCATGGATCCCGCCTAAGGTGTCTTTTATCTTCAGGAAGGTTGGAAATGGAAATTACAGAATCCCTGTGGGGTGGCAGCTAGGGACAATCCAGGAAGCCAGGAGTCCAACAATTGGAGAGGTGGTCCTCAAGACAGCCCCAGTGGGCTGCAGAGGATGACTGCTGAGATGACCTTCCTGGGACTTGCTCCTCCCAGAGACCCTCTCCTCCTCTCTCCCTGCTCTCCTTCTCCTGGAAACACAGGCTGGGTTGAAACCACTTCCTGACTTTGCCACTTGCAAAGGAGGTTTCGGGGCTGTGCATCTGATCTGCCTAAACGTCTTCATTCACGATCACGCTTGGATTTGCCATCTGAAAATGGTCAATAGGCAAAGGCCATGAAAAATAAATGGCAGTCAAAGGTGCCAACTCCGGGCTTCTTGTGCCACTGACCTGCAAGGTGAGCATGGTAAGGAGCCAGAAAAGGGGCCTATGTAGTAAATACTGGATTTCACATTTCTAAAATCCAAAGGCAGGCAGTAGTAGCAACAGGAGCTCTTTGGTCCTAATTTTGCAATAGTATTTCCAGGTTCTGCAGATTAGGTTATTCTATTTTCTTTTTTTAGGGGCGGGGAGGAGGGTGGCACAAGGGATTGAATTCAGGAGCACTTGACCACTAAGCCAATCCCCAGCCCTATGCTTCTTTCACTCTATTATTATTATTATTATTATTATTATTATTAAAGGGGATTGAACTCAGGGGCACTAAACTACTGAGCAACATCCCCAGCTCTATTTTGTATTTTGTTTAGAGACAGGGCCTCACTGAGTTGCTTAGTGCCTCACTGAGTTGCCGAGGCTGGCTTTGAACTCTCGATCCTCCTGCCTCAGGCTCCCGAGCCTCTGAGATTACAGGAATGCGCCACCACACCTGGCTAGGTCCTACAGATTAGAGGAGACATTATGTCCTACTGTACAGCTGCATTAGATAGTCCAGGTTTGGATCATCTAGGAGGCCCACAAGTACCTGCACTGGGCAAGGCTTTCCCAGCATTGGCAGACGGAGGAGGTTCCAGTCTGTTCCTGGAGCCCTGAGGTCTTGCCCACGGCCTCCTCTCTCACCTGGAGGCAGCTATCCAAGGCAGCATTCCCTCCACCACCTCCAGATGGGACCACAGCTAGCAAATCCTCCCAGGTAGTTGGATGTCCATTAACTGTCAACTCCACTCTCCTGAAAAGCCATGAATCCAGCTGCAAATAATCTGGAGCAGCCTGAAGCTACAGGGGAATCCCCACTGTGGGGTGGATGCAAACACACCCACACTCACTTGGAGAGGATGGGGGGCCAGAGAGAGAAAGACGTGGTTGAACTGTTGAGCTACTCTACCTGCCAACTCACTCAACCCGCTTTTGCCCAGAAATAAACAGCAAATGGGACCCACGTAACTGCAGTCCCTTCTGGGTCTGATTCCCACACACCTCTCCCCGGGTGGCCATCTCGTGGTGCCTGATTTTAGTGCTTTAAAATATTCATTTTTAATACAACTACTTAATCTGGTATTCAACCGCAGAAACAGTGATCTGTTTCAACAGTGGAAGAAAAATTGGAAAACTAGTTGTTGGAGCCCTAAAAATCTCAAATGGCCCTTTCCAAAAGGATGCCTGGGAGCTGAATGGGCTTTCATCCCTCAATGGGAAGTGGCCTCTCAGCCACAGATGGTTTTCTATGTTGATCAGACTCTTACCTCTTAATTCTATTGGGAAGAATCCGTACAAGTACCTTAAAAACAAGTAAATGAATAGATAGCTTTATTTTGCTTTGTTTTGTTTTGTTTTGCAATGAGTTACCCTGTGTACCATTTCTGGGCAGCAGACGAACACCTCTCTTCTTATTTATGGGGAGGAAAAAAACGGAGATACAAAGAAGACAATTATCCTACAGAGACATGACAGAAAATTGGAACTGAACCAAAACGATAACTTTCCGTTCCTGAATCTTTCTCCCGGAAATGTATCCATTTAGTTATTGAGTGCCTTCTGTGTTGGGGTGTCCTGGGCTGTGGGTTCCATAGCCATCGACACCACCAATAACACCTCTGCCTTTTCTCAGAGGGTTTATATCCCAGAGGGAGGAGATGATGGTATTAAAATGCTATCATGAGATAAAACTGGGAAGTGGGGAGTGAGATATTTTTCAAGAAAACTAGATAGATGGTCAGGGAAGGTGTCATTGAGAAACAAAGACCAAAGAGAAGAATCTGGTAATGTGAACCAGAGGGGCAGTGATGGGCATGAACATAAACTCTCAAGCGACACACAGAACCTACCCAGGCTGCTGGCAAGGAGAAGGGCAGAAAGAGATGAGCTTAGAAAAGCAAGCTGAGCCAAAACCCGTGGAAACTCTGGTGTCCGTTAAGGAGTTTGAATTTCATTCTAAGATGCTATGGGATAATTTGTTAGATGAACAACTAGGAAGGTTAATTTCAATTACTTGGTTACCACGGAACTTCATTGAAGAAAACACACTCGGAAAAAAAAATAAAATAAAATGGGAAGAAGCATATTTTCTCAACGTATTGGCAAGTCCAGTCCTCGAGGAGGAGAGAGTGGATTGGCTGTCACGAGGAACGGAGTAAATCACCCATTACCTTTATGTGTCTCCACTGGTCTGGTTGCTCCAACGTAAGCCAAAGCTCTTTGCTGCTCAGGACACCAAAGGTTGTCCAACTCTGAAGAAGTAGGGGTTGAAAGAAAAGGCATTTGGGAATTAAATATATGCTTCAATCAGTTGAACTTTTATACAGATTGACTGCAGTGAAAAATTAGAGCTTTGTGTAATCCAATAGAGTAAAATAAAATGCCCCAAATAAATAAATAGTTGTCTTTTTTTATTAGCTTTCCATCACCCCCGGATCCATTTGTATGTGGCATTGTGTCACCTCTCTTTTCATTTGCAATGTTGCCCCTGAAAACTGTTCTGTTTATTTGAGCTTTGCAATCAGGCTTAAATGTACCAATATATATTGTTCTAAAGTGTATATTTTTTTCTGTCGACCAAAGACATAGTGACTACTCCTTTTATGGGAAACCAGTTATTAATCCAGTAAGTCCGCATGAATCAATATCTTTGTGAAATGACACCGTGTTCAAGTTATTTTATGTTATGTTGATGGTTAGCTAATTTTGGAATGGAGACACTTCTTCTAGAAAGACACAGAGCATAATTTAGTGGGGAAAACGTCAATCACAGTGGGTTGTATGTCTTTGTCCAGGCAGAAGAGGGCAGATTTATTGAAGGAAATGCAGCTATATATTCCTTGCCACACTCTGACCCAAAACATCCATTTTGCTTATAATTTCTTTTTGGCAAAATGACATCAACTGCAATCACTAATAGGGAGACAATGCCAAACAATAGCTTTGGAATCAGATGTTCTGGTTCAACTCCCGCCTGCAGGATGATGCGGTGACAACCCTCACCTGACATCCTCATGATGATGTTTTTGATAATCCCCTACAGAGGAAAAACCTTATACATAACATGAGGCAAATTTGTAAAATCGAGTCTCCAAAACACACTTCAGTCTAATTATGTTTTCCTAATACTAGAATTGGGGGTTTGATGAAGAATCCATGAATCGGCCCACAGGGAAGGGTGTGGTCTACACCCAGGATGTCTTCCTTTCCAAGACAATTCTCTTTCCCTTGCCTCTCTCTCCAACCTGGTGTTTTAGGCTAAAACAAAAGGAATGGTAAAGAGGGGAAGGGGAAAGGGAATCTAATGGGTACAGGAGGAGGGGTCTTGGGGATTAAAAAAAAATACCAAGACTCATAATGATATATTATGAATGATGGCAAAAGAATTTCAAAGTACTCTTGGGTTAAAGCCATTTTGGTATATGGTAGCCAATGTGTTTTTAACTGAATTACAGGTAAAATGACAATCTAGGAAGGTTCACTCCTGAGTGAAATGAGAAAACACTCACTTAGCATGATAAGGAATTTCTCCTCTAAGCCAATAATCAACACCACAATTAACTGTGGAATAATAATGAAGGTATACAAAGTGGATTGTTCCATTCTTGACCCCAGTGAGACAGGCCTTCCACCAACCTTGCTGTGCCACCTTGACTCGGTGAGCATCCATGTCACTTGCTGATGCTCATCAGCAAACGTGATGCAAGGGTAGGTTTGTACCTTGGGGCTGCCCTGTTGGAGAACTGATGCTTATGAGGAAGTGATAAGGTACCGTCTCAGCACTAGTTCTTATAAAAGATTGAAGCCTTTTACATGTATTTTATCACGCATCGTTACACAGCCTGATTTTACCTATTGCCCATTTTACAGATGAGGAAACCGAGACACAAAGGTTAAAAAAAAAAAAGTCCCTGTCTTGCTGGAGGTGGCACAACTGAGAAGTGATGGGTCTGCTATAGATGCCTGGATGGGGTTGGAGTCCAGACAAGATTCTGGCTCAGAGGGAGGAGTCAACTCTGAAACCCCTTCCTAAGCTACGGTTGTCCCTAGACAATTCTCTTGATCCCATCACCCAAACAAACCTGAGAACTGAATCTCTCCTAGGCAAGGAATCCTGCAAAATTTGCCATCCCTTTCTGGGCTCTGGTCCTCTCCTCAGAGCTCTCCCTGTTTTCATGGGACCTTATTCTTAGTGCAAAGGAGTGCATCAGAACACTGTCGACAAAAGGCAGCTTGAAGGATAGGTGGGTTGACGTGGCTGCAAAAAGCACAGAGATGAATACGGAGAGCTCTTGCCTGAGAATTCTAAGGGGTCTCAAGACACGTGGGTGCTGTAGTTGAAGGAGGAAACCCCTTTTACCTTCTGCCTAACAAAGCATATTTAGAATGTGGTTTGGATACCTGTTGTCCTTCCCCCAGAATGAGCACCAGCTCATGGGTAGGTAGCCCCACAGGAACACTGAGATTTCAGGCCCCGATCTCATTTCCAAAGAGGAGTGAGTACTTGTTCCAGCTCCTCCCACCCACTGTCCACCTCGCCCACCCACTTTGTGCTGATAAGCTTTGGAGCCTCAAGAAATTGGGGAGGAGAATCTGGAAAGGAGAGACCACAGAAGAAGGAAGTTCTTTCCTGAGTTCTCAGAATACAGGGTACCAATTCAAAGAGGATAGGTTTAATTTGCTTCTCTGACTACCAAGTGGCCCTGGAGAAAGATCCCCCAGGGCACGGAGCAGCTCCCAGGGTCTGCAGGGAACAATGAGTTGGAATCTGCAGCATTAACTTGCTTCATCTTTACTTTCAGCTGAGTGTGTTGGTAGAGGACACTTAGGGACGTGGAAGTGAACAGATACCTGGGAGATGGGGTGGGGAACTGAACAACCTGAGACTTAGAGGGTGGGATGCAGCAGGCATATCCGGCATTGTGGGTAACCTTCGCTGCCGCTCACCTTTCCCACTTACAGAGTTCTGTGTAAATTCTATAGACTGATAGTGTCCACCCCACACAGAGACACTCAAAACAACCGTCACCTTCTAGGTGCCAAGTATTCAGAGCTGATGTGTAGTGATTGTAGTTCAGGGAGTTACAGGTGGTGGAATGAGCTTGCAGAAAGACCCTGGGTGTGCCTGGGCTGCTTTCCTTTTCTCTGGTCCTTTCTCTCGATCTATGCACAAGACACCTGAATTCTACTATGTCCATGGCCCAAATACAAGACCCGGGAACAGAAATGAAATCCAGTTCCACCATCCCAAGAGCTTTCCCTCCAGCCTGAATGAGTGTCTTAGGATTCCTGGTCTCTTCTGTAGCTGCCAATCATTCCCTGATGAAGGAGACTTCCCCCAGGGTGGGACATGGAGGGGCTGCCTCCCAAGCAGTGCTGACAGCAGCCAGTCTTCCTTGCATTCCCCTGAGGCATTTAAAGATAGCCATCGGTCAAAAGTCACCTTGGACCTTGAGCACTGACCCCCTGACCCCCAGCAGCTGGGATTTCTGACCTGAGCCTTGTGGCTCTCTGTTCCAGCCAGGAGTGTTCCCCTTATTTCTCAAAGATGCAGAGAAAGCCCTGGAGCTAGGGACTGGCATTTCTCAAGAGGCCTTGCCCAATCTCCTTGACCCGAGGACAGGGCCCATTGGAGGGCAGGACAGACAGGAATCATACAGATTCTCCCGTGTTGCTAGGATCCACCTCCTTTCTTTCCTATCTTTGGGTTCCTTTAATGAACTCTTCTCCATCCCAGGCAGGAAAACCATTTCCCTGCAAAATATAAAATCTATTGCTGAGCCTTGCAATGAGAATTAACCTTGATTACCGCAGTAATTTACTAATCAAAACTGGAGACCTGCTAATCAAGTTGGAATTGCCAGCTGCTTGATTTTTTATAGTAACATAACCAAAATTGAACATTTGGTAAACAAGGGATGTGGGTGTGCTGGGGAGACTGGGAAAGGGCTGGGGAGGGGCAGGGCCTTCAGCCTGACATTTGCTCCATTGACCTGTCGGCCGTTCTAGCCAAAACAGATCGACAGAAGTTCAGGAACTTTTCCTGAATGATGGAACACGTACACGATGAGTGTTGAAGCCAAATCGGGTTTTTCACAACACAGCTTATCTCGGGTTAGGTTCTTCGAGAAGCCCAGTCCCTGGCCAAAGACTCACTAGTGGGAGTTATTTTTTAGGAGATAATCCCAGAAGACACTTCAGGGAGATAGGGAAGGGAAGACAGCTGATATAGAATGTGTTCACGAACACGTTACTGCTCTGAGGAACTCAACATGCCGAGGTTTACTGGGATTCTGTGCAGAATGGCCCCAGCAAGGTCCCCAGCCAAGGGTGGGGGAAGATACTGCTCTCCGGGGTGTTAGCTCCCTGGCACTTCTGGGCTGTCTCACCTACAGGCAGGCAGGCTCCTGTGCTGCAGAGCTGGCAGCAGGAATCCATCTGCTTGTGAGCTCTGAGTGCTGTGGGGACATGGGGTGGGGCTCCAACTGTATCCTCTCCCATTGGCAATACCCCCCTACTCTTCCTTGAGCTTCACCTCCAGAAGGGAAATCAGCCCCTCTGAAATGCACCTTGAAGAAGGCACTGTGCCCCTTCAGCCTTCTGTGAGTTTGCACATACAGCCCACTCTGTTGGAGCAGGAACCAGATCAGGAGCCTCTCCTCCCAGCTAAATGGCCACAGTTTTCCCAGAACACCTTTCGTTTCTGCCCTGAATTGCACTTGTTCTTCACCTTCTATTTCCATCCCCTGTACTGGACTGAAAACGGACCAAAGGACTGGATTGTGTCCTTCTCTGCACCCCTCCAGTCTAGAGGAATTATTCCCAGCACAGGAAATCTTTGCTGGTCAGGTGATTTGTGGACTGAGCCTGATCAGGGGCTTCAGGAAAAAATGCACCAGCCTAAGATCAGGTGACTCCATTGACACAGGTCCTCGGAATTGCAAAAGCCCTTTCTCTTGTGGGACACATCCCACCCTCATCTTGTCCCTAAGACAGGTGTTTTAGTCATCTTTTTCACTGCTGTGATTAAAAGATCTGGCCAGGAAGGACATTTGTAGAGGACAAAATGTTTATTTAAGGGCTCAGAGTTTCGGAGGTCTTAGTCCATAGAAGGCCGGCTCCATTCCTCAGAGCTCCAGGTGAGGCTGAGCATCATGGCCCAGAGAGTGGCAGAGGAAAGCAGCTCACGTCATGATCAGAAGCAGAGAGAGAAACTCCACTCTCCAGAAACAAACTGCATACCCCAAAGCCA